TGCCACGTATGCAAAACAAATCAAGTAGCGAGTATTTTTTAATTGCTATTGCATGATGATTCTTTCTCTTCTAATGTCATTCTCAATTTTTTCCGTATTTCGTTTTGTTTTTGTTCTTGATTTTTTTAAAAAACGAAATACAATTGCGTGCTTTATTGCAAACATCATAGCTGAATGCTGGCTTTCTTTCCATAAAACTGACAACCTTTTCAATAGCTTTTTCAATCTCAGTCGCAATTATGTTTTTTTTATTTTCTTGTTCACTATGATAATGTGAACGCTGGAAAATAGTTTCTTTGGAAGATTTTATATCATACAATGTTGACTTTCTTATGTTGAACTCAGCCATTAGTTACAATGAACATTCATCAGGGTCTAGTCTGTTTAAAATTACCTTTTTCTTTGCTATAACTCCAAAGTTGTTCTTTTCCTCTTATTCCCATCATCTTTTGCATCAGTACAAGCCATCAGGATGAAATAAGCATGAGCAATTATCCAAAGTAAAATTCCTGAAAAACAGAAATTTCAAATCGGTTACATATCACCCAAATAGTTCAAATACACACATCAAAATGATGTCCGGATATGAGGGATTTCGGATATAAGGGATTCTACTGTATTTGGTTTTCCTTGAGCTGCATATTTAAGAAGTTGCCCTACTTAAGACTTTTCAAGGTCCAATATATTTCAGAGCATTCTTAGTTTTCTGGATTTGTTTACTATGCAATTTGTTACATGCTTGCACCATTGCAACAGACACCATGAATACATTGCGTTGTATAGAGCGGATTTAATCCCATTAATTATGAACACTAAGCATCCTGTACTTGGATTTCATATTCAGCCATGCATTTGACCAAAACGAAGAAAAAAAATCTCCAAACAATTTTTCTGGACATAATTCTGAAAACATTACACCTAAAAATAAAAAAATAAAATACTATTAATTTTAAAATTATATCTGGAAATATTTTTTTCTGGAAATATTCTTTTCCGGAAATGATTCGGAAAACATTACACGCAAAAGAACTAAAGGGCCGGCAATTTAAAAATTATACCCGAAAACAATTTTTCTGGAAATTATTCGAAAATCTTTACGGACAAAAGCAATTTTAAAATTATATTTTTTCTGGAAGTAATTCTGAAACGTTATTGACAAAAGGGCTTTAGCCCTTTTGTCAATAACTTTTCATATAACGTGCTGGAAATTTTAAAATTATTCCAGGAAACAGATTTTCTGGAAATAATTTGTAAAGCAGTTAAAGATAAACTAATTTAAAAATATATTTCTAAGATTTCAATAACATTTATGCAAAATGTGCGACTTTCTAGATTTTTCCATTGATATAATAAAAAGAAATAAATGATATTCAATTAAGATAACAATTAAGTTGATGAGAATACCGTCATGTTCAACGTAAATAAATGTAGAAACTTTGTTTGTTTATTTAACGGCATATCAACTCCTTTATGGGTCATTTAGTGCCGAAATTTAATTTTCTTGGGAACATTAGTAATTTCATTTTAAAAATATTATTGTTGGTAATTGTTTTTTGAATGTATTGCTGATAATATTTTTTCTATACTAAATATAATCTTATACACTTTCATACACCCTTGTGCAAATTAATTGAAACAACTGATTTAGTTTCCTGTTTTTTTACCATACAGCCAGTTTTTGACCCACTAGATTGTCAGGGTGTAATCCATAGAAGATAGGCAAAAATCTTTAAGTCTTCTACATAGAAGGTAGATTCGTATTTCAAGCATACACCCTTGTGCAAATTAATTGAACCAACCGCTTTAGTTTTAGACCCACTAGAATGACAGGGCACTTTCGATTTCTATTTTTTCCTCAGATTAGTTCATTTGCAGTGGTTTGAAGTAACATGAATCTATTTTCGGGGTGTATGATTGTTGTGGATTCCGGGATGAAATCCGGTCTCAAATGAATGACAAACGCAGGAATGAAATATAGCAAATAAATGTATTGACGTAATAATACAATTGGTAATACGGTTAGTAGATCCAGAAACGCGGTTAGTAGCAATAATAATATATATACAGTCTGGGAAATTCAGTATCGAAATATGACTTCCTTCTGAGTCTACCTGCTCGCAACTGTGACTCCTACAAAGCGGTTACCTCACACTCTCACTATCTCACTTTCTCACTCCCAGGTATTCACTGGCAGCCGTACAAGTACACACTGGGTGAGTCCACTTGTATGAAAAAGGGGTGGACCCCTTAACAATGATGAAATTTGTTTGGCTTTGAAAAATATTGCGTCATCAGTTATTGACACCAGTATCTCGACTCTTGATTAGTTGTCCTACGGCCATTTATTGTGACGGACGTTACTCCAAGGAGGCGTACGAAAACTGTAACGCTGCACGAGCACAAAGGGAAGCCTTACCAGCCAGCAAGCACTATAGATTGGCCTTGAATCTCTCCTGATTTAAGAATCTGTGGTCAATTTTCAAGGTATGACTTCGTGGAATGGATGTACGCACTGGTCATGTTTCATAGGAAAAAGAAAAACGAATAAAGTAAATAATAACGGAATTATTCATTTTGTTTCAATTAATTCGCACAAGGGTGTACTGTTTTGACCCCACTTTGGAGTTTAACTATTTGCCCATGGTTGATACCCTTACAGGTGCTACCACCACGGGTCAGGGTAGACCGGAGAACAACAGAAATTAAGAGATGGTTCCTTCTCCTCAAAACCTCCCTATCAGCTGCCGGATGTAGTTTATCGTCATACCCAGGTCCGGTAGAAATTAGCATTCATGAAGGTATATTATGAAGCAGCAAGTAATGATCGAAATCACAGTAAATAGACCGTAGGTTCAACCAGCTAAATATCTCACGGCCACAATTTTCGTCAGCATCAACGGATATATTTCAGTTAATGCTGTTATTAGCATCTTCACAAGGATATTTTATATTCATCAATACATTACATATGTCCACAGAGAAAGAAATCGAATCAGATCTTAGGACAAGGGTCGGCAACCATTTGCTAACTATGTGCCGACTTAGGGTTTGAAAATCATTCAGTGTGACAATAGCAGACGTATTTTTATACACGTTCAATATATCTGTTCTATAAAGTAATATTCTATATATACTTTAGTATATATATATATATATTTATATATATATATATATATATATATATATATATATATATATATATATATGAACATTTCTCCGATTTAACCGGTAGAAGACAATATTTATGAATAAAAATGACAATAGGAAAACTGGTAATTGTTGACGCGTTTCGTCCAATGTGGACTTTATCAAAACAAAATACGAAAATTCATATTTTGCTTTGATAAAGTCTACATTGGACGAAACGCGTCAGCAATTACCAGTTTTCCTATTTCAATTTTTTTTATATATATATATATATATATATATATATATATATATATATATATATATATATATATAAACAAACAGCTAAATGTCTTCTTTGCGTTGTAGTAATTATTGTTTCGGACTTCGTAATGTCATTTGCGGCAGGTTGCCATTGGAAATTGCATGCTACTTGCCGACTCCTTATATACAGTACTAAATTGTAATGTAGAAAGATGACCCACCTTTGCTACACTAATTTTTTCGTCCAGTTGCTTGTAGGGTAATTATTTATATTTTAGCTTTATTTAAAGAAAATTATTTGAAATATTTAAAACAAAATATTTTTTTCATATTTAAAAAAAAATATTTTCAATATGATTTAAAAATATTTTTTGATATTAAAAATATTTTTAGTTTATTTGATTTAAAAAATTATTTTGATTGAATAAGATTTAAAAAATACGTATAGTTTATACAGTAAGTATTTTTATTTCAACTTTCTTCAAACAGATAATCTTTTAATGTTGAAATAAACTTCAATGTTTTATAAGCTGAACTGTCACGGATAGTTTAGGACAGGAGTCGGTAACCTTTTGCTAACTAAGTCAAGGTCAATATACCTGTTCTATAATATAGTTTATATAGTAATATATATTATATATACTTTATATATATATATATATATATATATATATATATATATATATATATATATATATATAATTAAAATTGAAACAGCTAAATATATTCTTTGCGTTGTAGTATTTATTGGTTCAGATTTGTCATTTGCGCCTGCGTGCCATTGGAAATTGCTTGGCGTGCCGACCCGCTCCTTAGGGTAATTGCTCGGATTGAATTTAACTAACCCAAATGGAATTTGAAATCGGATCTCTAAATTTTCATTCCGTCCCACTATCTACATCACCCGCACGTCTACATTAACTGGAAATGCATCTAAAGTATAAATAATAGTTGTATATAAATGGTTGATAAAATCTTGGTTGTCACGTTTATGAACCTGAAGACAATTCTTCTATTAGAATTTGTTTTAAGTGGAATGCATTATTCCCAGAGCTGTAATTGGAATTCTTTCGTAATTTTGAGAACAGGTGCAAAAAAATAGTCTGAACTACTTGATTAAATGGGAAAGAGTAATTAAATCAATACTCGAAGAGAACAGAGACCAGGAAAAGAAAGTTAAAGAAATATTCTAAGAAAAAGCGAGATGTAAATAGAAATGACTTCGTGTGCTTCGAGTACTTCTATAGAACGTAAGGTCAAGGTTCAACAACCACGCAATGCAGAGGGCTACAAAATGAGATTGTTGTATGAAGGAGAGACTTGAGCATCAAAGGTTACCTGATTTTAATATTCTGGAAAGCATCCCTTCAGAGTAGCGGCTCCTGGGTAGAAACTAAGCAAATAGAACTTCCTCCTTACGAATGGAATACAAAAAGAATGAGGCTGATTCGACTGTGTGTATGTGGCATGGCGCGTCATAGCTCTAAATGCCTGAACTGGTAGAACGAGGTAATGTAGCTTGTCAGAACACTTTTACCAAAATATATAAATAATTGACCCAACACACAGCAAACATAGACGGAAGATAGCGTTCAAGAAGGAAACTCGCTCTATGATCGGTGCCTGTCGCCGGTCGGTGCCTGTCGCCGATCGGTCCCTGTCGCCGGTCGGAGCCTGTCGCCGATCGGTCCCTGTCGCCGGTCGGAGCCTGTCGCCGATCGGTCCCTGTCGCCGGTCGGAGCCTGTCGCCGGTCGGTGCCTGTCACCGGTCGGTGATGAACTCAGTGTTCACATTTATATTTACATACGCACAGTCAATTATATTGATCACTTTAACCCATAAATATAGCATACGTTAACACAAGTTTTTTTCATAATCGTTTCATCCCGTGAAATACGGTAATGCGACTAGTATGCAAGTTGGGGGTTACAAGGAGTGAAAGGGAGAGAAAAGACTGAGTATAGGGAGGTTACAAGGAGTGAAAGGGAGAGAAAAGACTGAGTATAGGGAGGAGGATTCAGGAAAGGACAAAAGAGGGACGGGGTTCAAGAAGATAGAAGATGGCGATTGATGTTACATTTAAATTTTTCAAGATTGTAATTATGAGGTCAGCAAGGAAACGGAAGATCAAATTTTGACAAGTAATCAAAGGAGGCTAATCCAGATCCAGAGGTAGTCAACGAACCCATGTTCGCCGACGACCAGGCAATAATGAACAACAACAGGAGCCGGCTGCAGGGACACACTGACCAACTCAAGCTGCCAGAAATGCGACATGAAGGTCAGTAAGAGACCAGAAAAACTAGACATTAACATCAATGGGACGCAGCTAAAACAAACCAGTGAATTCAAATATCTGGACAGCATATTTACTGAAAAAGGCAAACTAGACAGAGAAATCGAGACCAGATGTCAGAAGGCCAACGCAGTCAGTTACCAACTTGCTCCTCAGGTACCTCATTTGGACACCTATCAACCAACCAGCACTACGAGCATACACCCTCAGGTACTCTGGCTGGAGAGCGAGAGGCTGACCAAGAAGACGCTGGAGCAACTCAGTGGCAGACACTCTCAGGGCCCACGAAATATCTCTCCTCCAGACCACTCACCTTGCCGCTGCCAAACGACTGTGTCGCCCTGCGATACCTAACAGCACAAGCGGGAGGAAAAACAATAAACTAAACTTGCTCATCTTCTAAATCATCCTAGCATTTCCATGAGCACGAAGACAAATCTCATTAACGCCATATTCCTACCAACACTGACATACCAGTGTCAGACATGGCCCCTAACAAAAACTCTTGAGAGGAAACTTGCGAGATGAAATGCTGTGAACAAGACCAGGCGAGACAAAATCAGGAAGAGATGTGGTAGGAGAAATAACAATCATACAACACATAGAACGACAGAGATTCAAGTGGTTCGAAAACCTCACTTGTATGCCTATTAATCAACCAACCCTACGAGCAAACACCCTCAAGTACTCTGGCTGGAGAATGAGAGGCAGACCAAGAAGAAGCTGGAGCAACTCAGTAGCAGACACTCTCAGAGCCTACGAAGTATCTCTCCTCCAGGCCACTCGCTTTGCCGCTGACAGACAACTGTGTTTCCTCGCGACGCCTAACAGAACAAGCGGAACGAAAAGACTATAACTAAATCATTCTTAATGAAATCAAATTTAAACTACAATTCTGTCATTGTGGGTCCAAATGGTTGATAGAGTTGTGGAAAGAAAACAATTATTTAACTCATAAATAATTTCCACTTTTCTTTATCAATTTTAATCGCCAAAAATAATGCAATTGCATTTTATACAATTATACTTTAAGGGACAAAGCGGAAAAAAGTTTTTCGTGTAACGCATTTCGTCCTTTAAGGACACCCCCCCTCCCTCCCTCAGACTATGTTTATGTTAATGCGTACGAAAGGGAGACGCTAGGAATTTAACATTTTTTTATAATATTTGTTTTAAGTATATAAAGTAACTGATTTCCTTCTTTTTCTTTTTTGTTTCCATCGTTTTTGTTATTAAATATCTCGCATTGTAGTAACAGAAGATCTACCAATGATGGTGAAACATTGTAAGTTTACTGTGGATGATGTAGCAATTAAAGCACTTTCTAAAAATTTTCGTCTCAGTAAATTGCTTTCGCTTTTAATTAGAGTATCATTTTTTTTCAATCAAAATTGTGTTTACTCTCGTTACGGTGAGTAAGTAATGCATTTAATGCATTTTAAGTAACTAATGCATTTTAAGTTTGTTTTTTTTAAAAGATCCCATTTTTTGTGTTCATATAATCTTTTATTTAAAATCTTTGAGGTTTCTCCGATGTATAATGAAAATGATTCGGTTATATATTCTCTGTTATTTACAAAGACTTCTTGCCAGTTATCAGGCTGCTCTTCGATACCTTTGGCGTAAAATTCTGCAGTTATTTACGTAAAAGTTTTTCTGATAGACTCTTGAACCTGGTGTAAGTTAGAGAATGTTTTTTGCATCAATTATTTGTACCAATCAGTTGATTCAAGGTCGGGTGAATAGGCCTTATGTGGAAGAACACACCAATTTTATTCCAAAATAGTTTCCTGTTCTTTTCTTGCATGCAACCTGGCATTGTCATTGAGAAGGACATTTTCCTTTAATAGTACCCTTCCACAGTCGTGCAAAACCTGAAATATGTTTGTGCAGTGCAAATTTATTCTTAGATGCTACATATGATATGTAGTAATGATGATACACTTGTCATTACAATTGGTTTAACGAAAAAAATGAAAATTCCTTATGAATAAAACTTAATAGCAATGGCGTCTTATGGTGTGACTTCTACATATCGGGTTTAATACGCACTTATGGTCTTGTGCTAGTTTAAGCCAAGCTTCGTAAATATAGATTTAGTTTAAGAAGACTTTTTGTATCAAATGCAACTACCAACTGAAATAATCATGCCAGTGGGATAGAGTATATGTGTAAAAGGAAATATGAATAAAGACAAAAGGAAAACTTATCTTTGAGGGATTGTATCAAGGCAAATGTATTAGGTTGTCATAAATAATTTGAGATTTTGCTCATCATCTTTAGTATCTATATTTCTGAGATGAGATATTATGTACACTATTTACATTGTTCAGACTATCATTAAAATTGGCCTTGTGACGCATCCTGCCTTGCGTGGAGATTGGTAAATACGGAGAAATGAACTATTACAGGTAACTCTGCTTGCTGACTCTCTGTCTTCGGGCTGAGAGGAACCGAAACAAGGCTATGTCGAAGCACAGAGTCTCGTCTGGGGTGGTAGACCTCTACCCGGCACCGTTTATATGGGATCTACGGCCAATTTATTCTTAGAAAATACCCTACATTTTATTCAGTTATATGCTCAAAATGTAGTGTTTGTTGTCACTTATCCGTAATCTTTTCGATAAAGTTTGATCAAAATTACACATGTTTAAATGCGAAAAAGTTTTCGACAAACTCCTGAATGTGATCTTCATTAAGGAAGGCTTTAGTAATCAAAATGTTTTGCAGCGATAGGAAAGGGTCTTCATAGTTTGGTGCAATGTCCGGTGACTATGGCGGGTAGATTAAAACAGACCAAGCGAAGTTCTTTTTTTTCCTGTGTTAATTGCTGTATGTTACCTTACGTTGTCAACATTTTTCCTACTGACGATCCCAGGGCATTTATGTTTCACTGCATTTTAAGAACTGTAAATGAGTAATACCCCGAAGATCCTCCCATACGCTCAATATTACATTTCTTTAATGGAACTCAGTTTTTTGTTTTAGTCGGTTGTGGAGTTTTATTCTCGTTCATTCACTGCTTTTGCTGTCCAAAATTGTTGTATGTTAGTGCATATTAGTTCATTCATAACTGCCACGAATGATTAGTAATTAAGGTGATATATTAGTCATTACAATTTGGTTACGAGAAACAGAAACTATTTATGATAACTTAATGTGTATACAAGACTATGGTTAGTGTGCAACTTACTCTTTTTGAGTAGGTACACATCTACTTATCATCTCGAAGTTGTGTCTCTGTCTTTGGACAGAGTGCACTCAGGGGCGACTCCGTCAAAGGACAGAGTTGCAACTGAGGAAAATTATACTGAGATGTGCCGGCCCTGGGGAACAGCTGCCCGAGGTCGCGCCTTCTCATTGCACGAGAGAGAAAGATCGGTGCACGCACCGAGCCCAGTGCAACCGATGATTGCGGGGGCTGGGGGAATTTTTGTTCCTTGCCCGGGTGTACGCGCTCGGGCTCCTCACATTAAACCGATCTTGTGTCACAACCTGACTTCGTGGGGGTTTCAGTAAATATCTACAAGACTATGGTTAAAATTTCTGAGAATTTTATTCTTAAAATAATTCGAAATAGAGCAGTTCGCATATTGATCACAAGGACGTTGCTTGCAAAATGTTGCAGCAAAAGCCTGTACTGAGCGAATTCCGAGTAAAATGTTATTATGTTTATTGAAAGTTTAGTAGCAGCCAGAATATTTTTTAAAATAATTAAAAAAAAGAATAGGATTAAGAATGTCGCTTTATTGTATTCGTTATTTCTCATTAATAATTTTAAAAACATATTTTGACATTTATTTTTTAGCCTCGACAATAATTCAAACGTGAAAGTTGGAGGAAGCATTCCGGAGTTTGTTCTTGTAACTGGAGAGTCAGTAAATATCACAGATGCCTACCAGGATCCAAGGTTTGATCCGGCGGTAAGTTCTTTTATATATATATATACATAATTCTGTCGTATTGATTTCGTGTTGTTCTGTCCTGGTTTCGTCTCAGGTTTTGTACATTATGTTGGCCTTGTGCCGCATCTTGCCTTGCGTGGAGATTGGTAAATACGGAACAATTAACTATTACAGATAACTCTGTTTGTTGACTCTCTGTCTTCGGACGGAGAGGAACCCAGGCGACGCTATTGTTAGACAATTAAATCAACTGTTTTAAACTGAGACTGCAAAACATTGAAAACTGTTTTGTCACCGATGTATTTACACTACGTACATTGTCCGGACTGTTGTCCTCATCATTATTGTCTTTGTCTGTCTGTATGAGGTATTGCAACTGATTACACTATTTATATTCTTCGGACTTTTGCTCTCATCTTTATTCCCATATTCACGGCATTTCGATCGTTGAACATAATGACTGATTACAGTGTTTTTCTTTTGATCACGTTATGAGACTCATCCATTTCAATCACATTATAATCAAATTATTTATATTGATCTGCAGTTAATAATAAACATCTATACAGTTAATAGTAAACATAATCAGAAGGCCAATCCAACAATGAAAGCGATATTACGAAAATAACGTTGCTCTTAATAAGAGCCCGAAAACGCCCAGCACTATTTTTTTTTAATTTGGTGTTTTTGTTTAAATGTTTCTCAATGCTAATAACTGAAGCTATTGGATTAAAAAAACCATTTCGAGTCGATTGAGTTTGTCTTTTATTGTCTTATCAGAATATCCAGATTGGTTACCATGATCATTTCCCTGTACCGAGCTAGTAAGTACCCGACTCCTCATGTTGTCCCTACATTTAAGGCAGAGAGTCAACAAGCAGAGTTACCTGTAATAGTTAATTGCTCGGTATTTACCAACTTACACACAAGGCAGGATGCGAAAACAAAGCCAATTTTAATGTGGGGGTGGACGAGCCCTTGGGCTCGTGCAAAAAATGCCAGTAGATCCCGTATATATGGTGTCGGGTAGCTCTCTACCTCCATAAACTCTGCCTTTTGGCATAGGCTTATGTGAGTTTCTCTACGCCCGAAGCAGTGTTAACTGTAATCCTTAACTGCTCGGTATTTTCCAACGTCCCCAAAAGGCAGGATACAGCACAAGTCCAGTTTTTACGTGGGGCGTTCATAGCCCTTGGGCTCGGCAAAAATTGCCCGTATATCCCGTATAAATGGGGTCAGGTGTTTGTCTACATTCCCAGACGGCACTTGGCCCTTTTGAAGAGCCTGGTCTGCGTTCCTCCCCGCTTGAAGGAAGAGAGTCGAAATGCAGAGTTAACTGTAATCGTTAACCGCTATTCCTCAGAGAGAGAGAGAGAGAGAGAGAGAGAGAGAGAGAGAGAGAGAGAGAGAGAGAGTCTTAGACTAAACCATCTGATGGGGATGTTCAGGTACTCCAAAACAAATCATCTATATGATTCATTGCTAAAGATATTTGGAAAATGGTCGGTTTATTTTGCCGATCCAGTAGTATCTTACTCACCCGGCTCTACTCTATCTTTACAAATGCTAGATCAAATAAAAAATGTCGTACTGCTATCATATCTGGGCTGAGGCATCCCAGACAACACTTGCCTGTTTGGATAGAGCTTACAAGTGTTTACGCTGGTTTGGGGTTAAGGAGTCATTTCCTAGCCTACAACTCTTTTCCCACAGACGAAATATCATTAACATATTGCCACTCTATTACAATTAGCATGGCATTTGTTCTGATGAGTTACATTCATTGGTTCCAACAACTCCGACCTTTACACCTGGGATACACCATGCCACGTACAGAAGGGCAAATGATCCTCATTTCCTTTGGATTCCATTAGTAAGGAGCAAGTTCCACTCGATAAGCTTCTACTTCTTCTAAGCTGCCCAAGTGGAAGCTCCCAAAAGGATGCTTTCTCAATCACTACAACCTTGACCTCTTCAAATCTAGAATTATCCGTTATCTTACCTGCATAACCCCATGAACTTTACTTGTTGCCTTTTCATACGCTCATACAACACCACACACTCCCGATCTACCTTGAGTGGCTCTTGGGCGTTGCAATGGCTGGACATTAATATTAAAAAAGAAACAAACAAAAATAGACTTCATCAAAGCCATTGCTACACCGGTAATATCTTATGGCAGTATGATATCGGCATAAGAATGGAACGTTATACTATAAAACTATCCTGAGATGGAAAACACTCATACCTAAGATTGCATCTTCTTCAACTCCGTCAGTTACTGTCGGCGAGTAGGTGTGTGGTTTCAGTATTTTCTCCGAACGTGGATCCTACATCTCACTAAGATGTAAGTACAGCAGTTTAAAATTTTAATTGATTACTTCCGTAATATTTAATGAGAACACTAACCTGAAAAAACTCATACGCAAGATTGTATTTTCTACAACTCCGGACTTTCTAAATTATTCACAGCGAGTGGGTGTGCGGCTTTGTTGCTTTCTCTGAACGTGGATTTACCTCTATTTAAGATTTAAGTGCAGTAGTGGAGCGTAGTAATTAATTATCGCCGTACATTCTATTGATAACGCAAGACTGAAAACAAGACAGTATTTTCTTCAATTCCGGACTTTTTCAGTTATTTACGTCTTAGTCCATCTTCTCTCTGGTGTGGGTATCTATTAACAAGCGGTTAAAGCATTAAAACTTTGGCTAACAATCGGTTAAAGCGTTAACCTATTGGTTAACTAGCAGTTAAAGCATTAAACTATTGTCTAATGAGCGGTTAAAACATTAACCTTTTGGCTAACAGGAGGTTAAAGCATTAGCATTTTCGCTAACAAGCAGTTAAAGCATTAACCTATTGTCTAATAAGCGGTTAAAGCATTAAACGATTAGCTAAGAAGCGGTTAAAGCATTAACCTATTGTTTAATAAGCGGTTAAAGCATTAAACGGTTAGCTAAGAAGCGGTTAAAGCATTAACCTATTCACACATGTTCCTTCCCAAGTGTGCTTATCACGTGCAGCCAGTTTGATCAATTGAGGTTGCGAATAGGCACTTGGTGGCCAGGAGGTCATCTGTTATGCCAAATCGTTGATGCACTTAGTTTCTCTGACGTCACAATAAACGTAAAGTATATTCTGACATTTTCTCGATTGAGGCCGCTTACTATATTAATTACTGTCTATATTAATTACTGTCTATATTAATTACTGTCTATATTAATTACTGTCTATATTAATTACTGTCTATATTAATTACTGTCTATATTAATTACTGTCTATATTAATTACTGTCTATATTAATTACTGTCTATATTAATTACTGTCTATATTAATTACTGTCTATATTAATTACTGTCTATATTAATTACTGTTTATATTAATTACTGTCTATATTAATTACTGTCTATATTAATTACTGTCTATATTAATTACTGTCTATATTTCTGTGATGTGGTATTGAAATTATTTACAAAATTTACATTGTTCGGACTATTGTACCCATCTTTGTTGCCATATTCACGACATAATATCTATCCTGCGTATATGGCAGCACCTATGACAAACTGCAATAGTTGTGAGGGGGCAAGATGATAACATCATTCCGAATACAGCCTCGCTCTGCTTACCCTCTGTGGGGAATTATCAGAAAAATACGTAAAATCTGTGGTCCATACATCATGAGGATGGCCTTCAAAAGTAGATCAACATTTCGCAGACACCTTTTCTAATTAAGATATCCCGTAGAAAAGAACATAATTAAGGACTGCGTGTACACCATCCCGTGCAGTTGTGGTTAGAAATATAAAAAAGAAACAGGAAAGCCTCCTCAAGATAAGACTGCAGGAACGCCGTAAAGCCGTAAAACGAGGGGAAATAGAAAAATCAGGCGTGGCTAGCTGAATATGGAGAGAAAATAGAGCTCATCTCTCTTTGTGGTATGAGGTTGAAATAATAAACGGAGAACATCACTGAAAAATATGAAGATTTAAGGAATCAGCGCACATCTAGCCCCCCCCCAAATCTCCTGAGCCGACCAAGCATAGAAATGAATACAATAAGGGAACGAGTAATATGGATTGCTAGAGAAATATAATAACAACAAATTGTAATATGAACCCTGGTAAAAATGAAATTGAGGAATTAGGTTTATAAATCCCCAAAATCCATACACTGATGTCCTCAAGGACATATGAACCAGAGGATAAAGGTGTTGGTTTAATCCAGTGACTTGACCCAAAGAGTTGTAAGCTCAATACCTGATACGTGGAGCTAAAACAATCTATCCCGGTGCACGAAATAAAGGATTCAGTTCGAATTTCCAGTTAATTGAAAAAGGCCGATGCGTACAACTATCGAAATGCTGTGAATATAGGAATAAAGACGAAAGCAAAAGTCCGAACAATGTAAATTGTGTAATCAGTTGCAATACCTAATCTAAAAAATACAGACAGGTATAAAGACAATAAAGACAATAAAGATGAGGATAACAGTTTGAACAATGCACGTAGTGTAAATACATTGGTGACAAAACAGTTTTCAATGTTTTGCACTCTCAGTTTAAAACGGTTTACCTAATTGGCTAACAAGCGGTTAATGCATTAACATTTTGGCTAACAGGCGGTTAAAGCATTAATGTATCGGCTAACGAGCGGATAAAGCATTAATCTGTTGTCTAATAAGCGGTTAAAGCCTTAACCTATTGGGTAACAAGCAATTAAAGCATTAACCTATTTGCTAACAAGTGGTTAAAGCATTAACCTTTTGGCTGACAGGCGGTTAAAGCATTAGTGTTTTCGATAAAAGCGGTTAAATCATTAACTTATTGCCTAACAAGCGTTTAAAGTATTAACCTATTAGCTAACAAGCGGTTAAAGCATTAGCCCTTTAGCTAAAAAAGCGGTTTGATGTTTAATCCTGTGAATAGCAGGTGAAAGAAGGAAAGAATAATAACTTTCAAGTTAGTATGATTACTATTACTTGTACAAATAATGAAACTAATATTAGTCACGAATTAACAATATTCGACTTTGCTTCCTCTTAGATTATAATCTCAAGATAATGTTATAACTAAAGCTACTAATAATGAAAATGGTTGAAGATAATATTGTCGTTACTAATACAAATATAAATAAAGCAATTGGAATCAAGATGAAAGAAATATTAGTAAATCATTAATAATTTTAGAGAATCCTTCATCTAGTAGCAGTAGTAGTAGCAGTAATAATAATAATAATAATAATAATAATGACAAAAATGAAGAGAAGAGCACGATTTAAGAAAAAAAATTATTTGACAGTGTTAATTTATATTTCGACAGTATCTCTGTTTTCTTCAAATTATGTTGTTTTTTAAATTCAAGTATAAAAATATATAAATGCACAAAAAATTATAAGTCTTTGAACAAACGTAGTTTGACTTGTAATGATTAAAATTCCTCTATTGGTAATGAACGCGCCAAAATGAATGAAACGCTTCCAGTGTGAAGTCATGCAACTGAAACGTGCTTAATATGATGGTAATCTTGCTCATCTTGAAATTTTCTGTTAGTTGATTAGTTACTGAGAAGAATTAATCAAACAGATTAGTAACGATCTTGTGGAACTCTCCTGCCATTCTGTTTATTCCCCAACCGGAAGTTGGTAATTTGCATACGGAATTATCCTCATTCGTTTTAAGGGTCGACAAGTCAGTAGAATCTGAATATTTTTCAGAATGTGCACCGTAAGGTGATTGTCAAAATTACATTCGTTTGTTATAAAATATTCTGCAATCTCCGTTGATGTCACATTGCTGTGTCTGGCATGATACCTGTGACCATTGAATCTTTTATTTAATTTTCTCGTTGTGTAACTAACATAAATCAAGTCATGTTTGGTATATTGGGTAGCGTATATTAAAGGCGAATCAGTACAAATATCACCCTCTGTAGAAGTAGTTATGTTTCTCTTTGAATTTGTGATAAAATTAAGTTGACTTATATTGTGGCACAAAGCACAGGGTTCTCCTCTTCTATGAGTGTTTTAGGGTTACAACGATCCAAATCCTCAATGTTGTTTTAAGTGACGACGCATACATTTTTTTAAAAAATTTCAATGATTAATAATAATAATAATAATAATAATAATAATAATAACAACAACAAATTCAAAATGGAATTTCAAATGTGTGAAGAAGTAAACAAGAATACTTATTGAAGCAGCAAAGAAGCTAAAAAAGAAATCAAAAACAGATGCAATGGACAAAATGCAGAAATGGCGGCAATTAAGCCTCTACATGGTCACAGAGAGAACAATCAAAGTTAATCGCCCAGACATTGTGTTCAAAGACAAAGAAAAAAAAACAAACTGAAAAGCCGAATTTGTTTTATTATTAACATAGAATTTTCGGCAGTTTGTAATGTATCTTTGAAGAA